GCACAGGCGATCATACATAAACATTGCAATCGAAATTATTTTCGGCGTATACGGGAATGGCGGTCTAAATGTAGAGAGACTCAAATTTACAAACCAAACTACGATTTGCAAATATCCCTCACCAATGTATGTCACGAATAGCGATCAGTGACATAAATTGCAGATAAGTAGCGCGAATTGTTTATATCGGTAACTTGTAAAAAAGAAATGATAAATGTTTAAACGAAAGTTAATAGAAGCAGGTGACAGATAAAAAATTAATTATATCGTCAAAATTAATAAAATAAATATTTCAAAAAATCGTAATAAATCATCAGAATAATATAATTTCAATAATCTTGATAAACAATGTTTTAAATTAATGTAATATCATAAATATGTCTTGCTAATTAATTAGTAACCAAATCATAAAATGCAAAAATTGCAATGGTTTGCGAAATACTATCAGTTATGTTGCAAAATTTATTTTATGTCTTGGTTTTCGTAGGAGGTATTTCTGACAGTTAATCATCAAATTATGTCATTTCATGTAATCATTCACTATTGTCTTCCCTATATTCTAGGACCTAATCAGTTCCTACTGAATCCTTTATCAGAATACATAATAACGACCAATTATTGAATAAATCAGCGATAGTGCCCGTACATCTTACCAGATATAATACTAATACGACTATATACTCTTTGCTCTTTGGGTTCGTGACGTTCTCGAGAGCATGCAAACGAGCCAGACTATCATTAACGTTATTATTATGTCGTTCCTCATAAAAATCGTCGAGTTGAATCAATTCGCCATGCAAATCAAGCTGCGGATACAGAATCATCCAGAATCACATGGCGTCCGTATTTATGCGATGAATCGCTAGTCTCGTTCGACAATCGAGAAAGCAAGATCGCTTGTTAGACTTCCATGAGGTGTGCTCTAGCACACCTGCTCATGAATTACTGTACGACTGTCGATGATTCTAAAAGTTCATCGATTATCTAGATATTATGTATCTCTATGATGACGTATCAATTTTCTGATGTGTCTAGGTCAATCAAGATGCAAAAAATATATCTTTATAAAATCACAATTAAACTGTACATTTTTATATGTATTTTTTTTTTTTTTACCAATCTGTGTATGCGTGTGTGTTCATAGAATTCTTAAATAAATTTAATAAACGTGTTCTTATGTGGTCTGATCTGCTTTAGTCCAATATAGTATTGAACTTATATTTAATCTATGGTAACATAAAATTTTATATATTTAGTACTGTAGTAGAAATCCATTAATTAATATAATACAGTAATGATAATTTTAGTATAATATTTCTCTAGAATCTTTTTTTCATAGTATAAAAAAAAATAAAGCTCTCTCTTTTTTTAGATTGCATAGAAAGACTGAAATGGAAAAGTTTTATGGCAGACATTTTAAACAATCTTCAAAACAATAAAATCCTTACCTTCGCATATTAACTGTAGTCTCGTTTTTAATAGTTGCCGATTTTTTTACAATAGTCAGCACTATCATCACGTGTCATACGTATGCGTTGATTTCTCATACTCTTTCAATGCTATTTGTGCACAAAATTATCGCTTGCGAAGGTAGCTATGCGCGATAATGTTGCCATATATTTGCAAGTTAAACCGTCATTAATAATGGGATAAATTTTAATGTTTCTTTAGAGAATATAAAATACTACAGTACATGTTATCTTTTAAATTTTAAAAATAAAAACCTATTTTATCTCCATTGTAATAGATTAATTTATATACTCTATTATATATTATATATAACAATCTCAATGTAATAAACTCTTATTTTATATACTTGCCTACAATTGTAGCAACTTTAATTAATATTTTTACGTCGCACTCCTACTTTAAATTGTTTAATAACTTATAACCATAAACGTAATACGCGATATTAATAAAACGCGAAGTTTATCGATATAGGCTATTTTAGATCCAACCTTTACGATATCACCTAATCCCCAATGGAAGAGAAACGTTTTTTAATAAATAAACAATGTGGCAATATAAGTTAATACCTCAAAAGACGCGATCTAAAATCTCATATTATTTATACTTGACATGGAAATGGAAATAGTGTAAAAGGAAATAGCAGAAGATAAGTTATCAACTGATTTTTTTTTATATCAAATTTTTAATTATATCAGACAAATAGCTGAATGTGGCATATTATAGCACGAAAGATATAAATACCCATTGAAAATTGCAGTAACGTTAGAGTGAGGACGTGATCAATTTTTATATCATAAAAGTCATCATAAAAGTCTTTAGAAGATTTCAAAAAAAATGATACATAGCATTTAAAAAATATAAAGAAACATATAACGCAAGACATAGTATCTGATATGTTCACATCGTAACTTTTAAGAGCGTATCACCATTGAAATAATCGATTATTGCAACATGAATATCAAATCTATTCATGAATAAATTTATCTATTTGCACAGCATCGTTAATATGTTTATACTTGAATAGATCAAAAGTCAATGTCTTACGTGCTATTAATATACAAAAACACTCCTTTGCTATCAAGGCAAAAGCAATGCAAATATAGAAATATAGAAATATAATATAAACATACAAATGTATTATATATGTGTTATTATGCGTACAAAATATCGATATGTATTTTTTTTTACCAATCTGTGTATGCGTGTGTGTTCATAGAATTCTTAAATAAATTTAATAAACGTGTTCTTATGGTGGTCTGATCTGCTTTAGTCCAATATAGTATTGAACTTATATTTAATCTATGGTAACATAAAATTTTATATATTTAGTACTGTAGTAGAAATCCATTAATTAATATAATACAGTAATGATAATTTTAGTATAATATTTCTCTAGAATCTTTTTTTCATAGTATAAAAAAAAATAAAGCTCTCTCTTTTTTTAGATTGCATAGAAAGACTGAAATGGAAAAGTTTTATGGCAGACATTTTAAACAATCTTCAAAACAATAAAATCCTTACCTTCGCATATTAACTGTAGTCTCGTTTTTAATAGTTGCCGATTTTTTTACAATAGTCAGCACTATCATCACGTGTCATACGTATGCGTTGATTTCTCATACTCTTTCAATGCTATTTGTGCACAAAATTATCGCTTGCGAAGGTAGCTATGCGCGATAATGTTGCCATATATTTGCAAGTTAAACCGTCATTAATAATGGGATAAATTTTAATGTTTCTTTAGAGAATATAAAATACTACAGTACATGTTATCTTTTAAATTTTAAAAATAAAAACCTATTTTATCTCCATTGTAATAGATTAATTTATATACTCTATTATATATTATATATAACAATCTCAATGTAATAAACTCTTATTTTATATACTTGCCTACAATTGTAGCAACTTTAATTAATATTTTTACGTCGCACTCCTACTTTAAATTGTTTAATAACTTATAACCATAAACGTAATACGCGATATTAATAAAACGCGAAGTTTATCGATATAGGCTATTTTAGATCCAACCTTTACGATATCACCTAATCCCCAATGGAAGAGAAACGTTTTTTAATAAATAAACAATGTGGCAATATAAGTTAATACCTCAAAAGACGCGATCTAAAATCTCATATTATTTATACTTGACATGGAAATGGAAATAGTGTAAAAGGAAATAGCAGAAGATAAGTTATCAACTGATTTTTTTTTATATCAAATTTTTAATTATATCAGACAAATAGCTGAATGTGGCATATTATAGCACGAAAGATATAAATACCCATTGAAAATTGCAGTAACGTTAGAGTGAGGACGTGATCAATTTTTATATCATAAAAGTCATCATAAAAGTCTTTAGAAGATTTCAAAAAAAATGATACATAGCATTTAAAAAATATAAAGAAACATATAACGCAAGACATAGTATCTGATATGTTCACATCGTAACTTTTAAGAGCGTATCACCATTGAAATAATCGATTATTGCAACATGAATATCAAATCTATTCATGAATAAATTTATCTATTTGCACAGCATCGTTAATATGTTTATACTTGAATAGATCAAAAGTCAATGTCTTACGTGCTATTAATATACAAAAACACTCCTTTGCTATCAAGGCAAAAGCAATGCAAATATAGAAATATAGAAATATAATATAAACATACAAATGTATTATATATGTGTTATTATGCGTACAAAATATCGTTAGTTTTGCATTCTCGTGATGTCAACATTGCGATCAACATATATGCAACATTATCTGTCTGCCATCATTCTTCAATATCACGTGATTTTGCTATCATTTCTTTTCACGATTTATATCTAATACTGTTGCTAATTATTATGTTGATAACTTTATAATAAGAAAGCATGATAAACGGATTTTGATTAAAAACTTTTTCTATTAAAAAACGTTGATAATATATAAATAAGATAAAAATATATTTTTTATCAAGATCTGATTTGTGTGAAAGAATAAAAGCATTATTTATCAGGATTTGCAATAAATAATAGATTATCACAAAATCCTTCTGAGATAAAACTGATTTCAAATTAATCAAAGACTATGTCATCAGATTAATAATTCGGGATTCTGAAATATTCTCTAATTTGAATACGATTCATAGAATATAAGTGGCATCGTGGGGTCAATATAAAAAGCTCATTATCATTTACTATATTACGTATAATAAGATTATAAAAATGAAGTGCCAATAAAATTATAATATTTGTTATTATATCTATTTGCTTGGAAAAAGGGAATTAAATTATGAAAAACTCTTATATTTCAAGAAATGATGAAATAACTTTTAAATGAGATATTATTGAAATAATGGAAATTATGATTAGCTAAAATGTGGAAGAATACCACCATATTGGTGTTGACAGTTAACGAAATTCGCGTGATGCGCGATTTATTATCATATCCGAGACGCGATCCCTATCACATTCGCGTTCACGCATATCCGTTCACTTTGATACTCCCCGCGACCTTATCTCGTAATAAGAAAACGAGCCTGACCTTGGTACCGGTAGATCCATAATGGTGGCGCGATGATGCTGATGATGCTGATGATGCTGATGATGCTGTTGATGCGATTGATGCACGCGGTCATCCGTGCCTCCCATGATCCCCGGGTGAAGAGTTTGTTGTTGCGGATGCTGCGAGGGCAAACTCCTCAAGTACGCTTGTTGCTGCTGTTGCTGCTGTTGTTGTTGCTGCCACATGTTGTACTTCACAAAGGAGACGCACTTTTCCATTGAAATATACAAATATATGATTTCTTCTCAAAGACAGTTCTTTCATCCATTCGTTTGGATAAAGTACAATCGCCCACCGTTGTTGGTCATTGCGTTGAAAACAATCGAAACTTTTTAATCCGCTCTTTCAAGGTCCGCCGATATTATCACACAGTTTTAATGTCACAGTACGATGATTGTTATTAACACTTTATTTACGAGTTATCTTTGTTTATTGTTTATTGAATACTCGTAATCGGTAACACTGATAAATATTGCTCGCAGCTTGCAGCAGATGTCCCAACGTCGCTTACCAGATTATTGAAAACCGACAGCGCGGTTTAAAGACGCATCATCGGCCTTGCGTCAACGTCGATGCGTAGTCGATGAACCGATATCACGAGTTATCGCAACAGCGATAGCTTATTTGCCAATCAAATTAAAATTAGCCGATTAATCGCGGTTCTTATTCGATGAACTTTCTCTCGCGATAAATAAAGTCGTCTCTATCTGGTAAACGTTTCGTGAATTTTGTCCAATCTTAAGTCGTTTCTACGGAAGTATGTTCCTTTCGACGCACACCGTCGAGTGTCCTTTCACACAAATTCTATTCCCTATAAGTTTTACGCACAAGCACTATATCACTAGAACTTGCGAAGTAAGTTGAGACTAGGCGTTTTGGCGCATTTTCAATGCAATCTTCATCGATCTTCACTGATCTTTGAGTTGGATACCGGTCTTTAACAGTTCGTAATTGTCACTTGCAGGTCTCCCGCAAGTTAATCGCCGGAAGTTGACAACAGTTTTGACACTGTCACAAATTGGTAATAATTCTTAAAAAACAAAAAAAAACAACGAGTTATGAGTTTCTTGATATAGCCACGATATTTAGGCGCAATTTCTGTCTATCTGTCTCTCTCTCTCTCTCTATCAAAGCTGTTGCGCAGAGAAATGCGCTACATAAAAGAGCGCTGCGCGGTGACACAAGGCGTGAACTCTCCAAGGATGACCTTGACACAGTATCCCGAATGCATTCGCCGTACGGAGCGATGATTTATTTCAAATGCGGTGATATTTATCCATTAGCCAAGTTGTCGCTGTTGTTTTGACCTATGTGATGCATAAACGTAAGTTTTGAATAACGTGGAATCTCCTATTCGCCCTGACGTTTCGACGTCGCGTCCGATTTTTGTCGATCGTGCGAGCGTGAAACGTGAGCGAGAGGGGACCACGTTTTTGCACAGGAAACTGCGACGAGTCGCGACGCGACGACTCTATCAAAGCTGTTGCGCAGAGAAATGCGCTACATAAAAGAGCGCTGCGCGGTGACACAAGGCGTGAACTCTCCAAGGATGACCTTGACACAGTATCCCGAATGCATTCGCCGTACGGAGCGATGATTTATTTCAAATGCGGTGATATTTATCCATTAGCCAAGTTGTCGCTGTTGTTTTGACCTATGTGATGCATAAACGTAAGTTTTGAATAACGTGGAATCTCCTATTCGCCCTGACGTTTCGACGTCGCGTCCGATTTTTGTCGATCGTGCGAGCGTGAAACGTGAGCGAGAGGGGACCACGTTTTTGCACAGGAAACTGCGACGAGTCGCGACGCGACGACGACACGACGATGTCGTCCACCTCATACGCGAGCACCCGCAAAACTGTCAGCGGGCAAGACATTAGGCGGCCCTACCCGAACCGAAACTCGATTGCGAAGAGAGAGGGAAGGAGAAATATCGAATGGAAAGGGAACGAGGGAAAGATACGAGAGAACGAGAGAAAAAGGTGTGTATCAACCAGTAGTGTTGTTAGACGAGCCGGGTTTTTTATTACGCGTGACGTAACGATGATGTTTACAGTCATGTATACGTGATAGGCACCTCAGTTTTTGCGGGATCTCGCGAAAGACGAGTTAAATAGCTACTAATAAGTTAATTGATTAATTAATTAATATAATTTGTTGCATAATTATTTTTTTACTTCACGTTTTCAATTAATTATTTTAAATTTTTCGAATAAATTCATTTAGAAAGAATTAAACGGGGGTCATGCAGGACCTCAACTTCATTCGATTAACTACTTCATTGACGCCACATTCAACGCGCGTGCGCGAAAAAAACCCGGCCCGTCTAACAACACTGGCTATCGGCTAGATGCGTACCCACAGCTCACGGCAGTCGGATGCGTACTGCGTACTGCTGGACGAGCGCTATCCCCACTCCCGGTGAACAATCAGCCGTTCCCCTCTTACCGAGACAACCAATCGTCGCTCCCCTCTTTCCCACCCTCTTCCCGCCCCCCCCTCGGCATCATCTGTATGCTTGGCGTGATAACGACACATTATTAAGCCGCACTCATACCGGCCGGCTTATGATAAGAAGGAAATTTTGGAACTTGTATGCGAAATCGATACACACACACACACATACACACACACCTGCTTCTTCTTTACTTATTGTTAGTGGATCTTTATTCAAATGCGCTTAATGTGCTTCTTAAATCGCATCTGCACTGAGGGAAGTGTAATTTTTTTTTTTTAGTATATATATCTTTTAGATGGGAAAAATACAAAAATATTAATGGTTATAAAACATGTGATTTTTTATTATATTTATGTATATTATAGTTGCATATTTCAATGTTATTTATTATTTATAGTCATATCGATATAAAAATGTTACCTTTTTTTTTTTTATGGTAGTCTAATTTGTATTACATCATTGAAAAATGCATATATAAAATTTAGAACGTAGATATAATTTGTATCTACCTAATCTAATCCATAAAATTAAATACCCATTTTTATAAATACAACCCGTAATAGTTATTTTATATACTTATATTTTTTTCAGTTGTAGAATACTAAAGAGTACATTATAATTCAACGATAAAACAAAAGTAAAATCCTATTTTTATTTTCCACTTGTCATAAACAATTTTATTAGCAGAATTTATTTTCGACGGCAAGAGACCTCGGTCTTTCGAATGATGAGCCATCGCAAGATTTTCTTGTGTGACATTCTTATGATATATAAGTCATGTTGAGAGGCACTAAAAACCATCGGGATTTTTCTTAAGAATAATATGTTAAACCAGAGGTCATATCAAAGAATGACTATGCGAAGGCCGACGTTTAGAAAACGAACACTGCGCAGTTTAAATTCTCACAAATTGTATATCCGATATATATTTCATAAAGAACACACACCCCGATGATTTTTGCTCCGAAAAATAAACCAAAAGCGAGGCATCCAATTTCCCGATAACCGATCTGTCAAATGTAACGATTCGATATTTGCAGTTTTTTTTTTTTTTTTTAATCGAATATTTTGCGCGATCTTCCTCTATATCTCGTATTTCAAAAAAAGAAAAAAAAAAGCAATGTGTAAATAAAATCCGCTGTCGCCGAAACCCTCGAAGCGATAATCGAGCTAACCGCACACGTCGTAATATCTGACAAGGTTTCATCCCACGTGATATTTCACACATTTGTCGCTGAGAATGTCAAATGTATGTGTAGAACAATTTGTATCTTCATGGCATTGTCCGATTTTGCTCTTCTTATCATCCAAAGCAAATATTCATTTAATGCGGTATTGTATATGTACAATATAGTCGGAGACCACGCGCGTGAGGTATATCGAGTTACTTTCTTATGTTTGTTCGCAAACAAGAGATATAGTCTGCGATTTCGATGTATTGCACAATTTCATATGCGGACTACGGTGAAATAAAAGTGTCATAAAAGTATCAGCATAATGGCGTCGTAATTTATTCACGTATTCATTTCGCATTGTGATTCTATTGTTTTGGTTTTCTGGGGGTTTAAATAGATAACCTACGTACGTTTTTTAGGCAACTTTTGAAACGATATGTGCACAGATACAATCAATCATACTAATGAGAAAATATATATAAACGAGAATTACTTTGATTTTCATATCATCTCATATATATATCACATTACGTTGCATAAGAAATATTCACTTTTTGTATTCATATATTATAAATAATTTTAAGATAAATAAAAAATAAATAACACATTAGAGATAGTTTTCTTATAATTGTAAAAAAATTTTTAATATTAATATCGCTCATGAAAAATAGAATTATTTTAACAAAATAATTCTACACATCTTATGGTCGACAAAAATTTTATTAAATAACCATAAAACATCTCAGTTTATTTGAGGAATTAACTCAGAATTTGCAATGTTTTCGCTATTCAAAGAAGATTGATAACGACGCAGGTCAAAAGAGCAATTTTTTTTTTTGCTCAAGCTGCATTCAGCAAATATGGACTATGTACGTAAGCTTTGACATGGTCGATGCCATCTAGCAACTCGGAGAACAAAACCCTTTTGCTCAGCCGTGCTGCAACGCTAGCGAGCTGGTAATTCCGATTAGATGAGAGTGCAGTAATGCGCCGCATTTACGGCTGATTAATTAACTGAACACGATCACGAAGGGTTGTATTCATGTAAGAAACTATAATAGGGTTAACAGTCGACTGGTACTTTGTAATGTAACTTCACCGTGAAAATAACTCTTCATGTACGTTTTCAAGTCACGACACTTATCCCGTAATGCTTCATGCGCAATTGACGATTTATTAGACAGCGATCTACGCGTATTTTTTAAATAAATTCATAATAATTAATTTGAAGATTAATTGAAGTGTAATTCCATCCCCATTCGGGACAAAATTTAGTCAATCATATGTGATTATTTTATCAAATCACGAATTTAATAAAAAAAGTGAGTAATGTGGAAAATCAATATTTTCTCCTTGATATGTAAAATAATTTTGATGCTTTAGTCATCACATTTATATATGTACACGTAAGTTTACGATTAAAAGTCGCGATATAAATATTATTTCGCGGTTATGACGGTCAATAAAAAGAAATTTTAACTTATACAATAACGCGATATATAAGAAAATCTCTTTACACGGGGAGGAGGGAGGGTTAGAAATTACATTTAAATATATTTTTATTGGCACATCATGACGTACCTCATTACATCGCCATCATGATGAAGAAATTATTAGTATGCTAATTTCAGGTACGATAATTTTGACTTACCCATATGAAATGGTATTTTCAGGTACGGACGTGCCTGAAGAGGACGTGCCTGAGGAGATGCCAGAGTCATCTTCGTCCATGTCATCCTTCATTTTTCAAAGTTTTCCTGCACATTAAAATAATGCTTTGTTAATTTAGAAAAAAAATAAAGCGTATAAATTAAAAAAAAAAAAGAAGATATTTTTTTTAGATATGTTTTTAATGGCAAAATTTTGTTATACGATATATTATGGCGTAAATTTAGCTCTAGAGAGAGAAAGTGCAATATACAACTTTATTTTATACGGTAAACAAATACGCACTTATATAGAATGTGCTTGACGGGGCATCTTCTATATTTAAATGTTTACTATTAGAGTGAATAAAGAGGAAGTACTTCAGTTGCATCAACCGCAAAATATTCGAACACGTGTGCTCGTAAGTATTCGTCTGATACATTCTCGGCGAGATTCTTTTCACACGTGCGATGTATTGTAATTGGATTGACGCCATAATATGAGTAAAACTGCGATTAAGCGTTTAAAAGGGAGTAATTTCTGTTTGAAAGAATCGATGCGAAAATGATAATTGATGCATCGTCGTCGACTAAATGACATAATTGATCGGGCACGATACATACAGCTGATTCAATAAATACGCTCGGCCAATTGTATAATAGCAAAAGTGAGAGAAGAATTGCGGTGATTGGCCGTATAAAATAATCAATATTAAAATCGTAGAATACATATTTCGATTGTAATTAGATAGCGTTGTCACCTGAATGTTACATCAAGAATATTTGCCATTTAAATATAAACCGAAGTTGCATAAGAGTTGGCAATTTTGAAATTTAGTTTAATTGTCTTTAAATCGGCGAAAAACAAGACAGAAATGTACAGCAACTACGCCATATTGCGCCCAGATTTATTATTTCCATATTAATTAATATTAAAGAACAATGTGAAGAATAAATTGTGACCAGCTTAATTTTACTTGCTTTTAGTGTAAATAAGAATTAAATACGCTATGTTCACAATTCGTATCTACTTGTTCCGTGTCCTATTTTAACAAACTGTGAAATCTGTTTTATTGAAATGAATGGCGAACTCTGAACGGATATGCAGATTGAAAATTCGCCAGGTTGGAACGCGCGTGAACATGAACGCGAATTGAATTTGCGATTCGTCGTAGTGCCGGTGTATGAAAAGTCGGGCTGACCGACATTCGGCGAACCGGCAAAATCAGTACGATTCAAACCGCGGATAAACCACGTCGCGTAAAATGCTCGCACGTTCCGCGTGCGCGGATAACAGCGCTAATTCGTGACAATCGCGCGACGTTGCCCAGGATCAAGGGTGGTCTTTTGTTCATGGTCACGCAAGTCTGTTACATCGCACAGCTGCAGATTAGCACGTACGTGCGTCCCGATCGTACAACACAAAAGAGACACATGTCCATACTATTCGTGACGCTACAATAATCCTATCGGGTTGATCGACTCCGTCGTATCGAGATCCTGCACCTCGAGATGATCGATATTTGCAGAGAATGAAAAATTTTACTATGCGAGCGTGTATATCTTTTAGAAACGTGTACAAATGTATTTTTTAGAAAAATTAAATTAAGAGATACGTAAAAGATAGACTTGAATATCCCCAAAAAGAAATGTATGTATATATATATATATGGTATATTTATTCGGATGATCACTTTCACGGACTAGAATAAAAGTGAACGTTTTTCATAAATATTCTAAACGTGTTTCGAAATTATACTTTTTCGTTAAATAGAAAGTGTTGACCCAATTTTATATATATTTGATGCTCAACATTATATATTATTCATCTTGAGATTAACAATTATTTCTAACAAAGGCATTTTTCCTCTTGTGTAAAATAAAACCTAATTTGTATTTGTATGAGAATATAAAGATGTCATAAAATATTTCTGTTGCATTGTATTTAATTAACCAAGCTAGATAATGAAATTATCTCGGGGAGAGCGCTTTAGCCACCGTAATTTAACGTCAAGAAAATTTTCATTGGCATATCCATGCATTATTCTTCCGTATAAGTCTCAAAGCAGTAATGAAAACAATTTATTCAAGATTAAAATATAAGGATAAAACTGCTCCCCCCTCAGGAGTGATATTATTATTCCCTTTAATATAATAAAAGGATTAAAATATAATTTATTATGCATGATATTCGGAATAAAAAGAGAGAGAGAGAGAGAAAGAAAGAAAATCTTTCCATTTATACGATTTACGTCATCGTTCGTATTAATACGAGAATTTGTTTAAAAAATATCTTTTTGATTTTTTATAAAATATGCAATGTATGATGAAGCAGAAATCTGCAAGTCTATTCGAGTCTCGAGTCTTTATTCAATTTTTCAGGGTGCTGCAAAAGTGAATGACGAGCAAGTGACTGCATCTAGAAACTGACGTCAGGTAGGACTGCATTGATATATCAGGTCGTTGACATCGCGTTACTATCACAAGTTTTGCTGCATACGCAGTATATGCGCTGATAAGATGGAGGTAACATACGTACGACGCACTCGATTCTAAACATTTAGAAATCCGGACAAAGTACACGAAATATGTCTACATTCGATTTTATGTATTTAGCGTTTTCGCACACACACACACACACATAAATTCATCTGTCAAATATGTCATAAAAAAGCATTATTTATTATTTTCTGCATTTCTACTTATTTTGTTATGTAAATCGTACGCCACGTGTTTTAGATTTATATCTCATTGCATATAATTCATATACGTTCATACCTCTCCTATTTTCTCCTTGTATTATCTAAAAAATAATTTATTTCCTCTAATTTTGATTTTTTACTGCTTAGAGATACCGAGAAAAAAATAACGTTGGAAGAATGAAATGAATGAGCACTCTTTCTAGAAAACGTGTAACCGTTGAGTTTGTAACTCTGTAACTCTGTAATAACTAAAACCTCGTGATATCATATTCGCATCTTTGACGTCATAGATAGAGAATATGATCATATTTTATAACTGTGAAAAAAATAAATTCAATGATTATTCTCTCGCCCATTAATCATTCACTAGTTTATCTATAAAAATCTGTAAATTATATCTTATTCTCTTCTCATAATTCATTTAAAAAATATATATGTGTGTGTGTGTGTATATATATAAAGTGTGTATATTATTTAAGATATACAAAAAAATAAAATAAAATAAAATAAAATAAACCCGATAGAAAAGCATAGAAAGAGTGCTAATGAAACCATCGTCGAGTCCCGTGATAAAAATGCAAATATCGAACGGTTAAGGAGGGGGAAGAGGAAGACAATAACGAAACCCCTGTCGCTCTACGTCAATAATATTCAGCCGTCTAGACATCAGACTTCTTTTGTTCATCCCGGCCGTCTGATTTTCGGGAATTGTCGCGGGGGGTTGAACGACGAAGGTATATGATATATAACACCGCGGGGTGTGTTCCACGCGTGGGACGCAGGGTACACGAGGGTAACCCCGCGATGCCGGTCGCGGCTTGTTGTTTTCCCGGTCGGGAAGACGTTCGACACGTCATCGGTCATCAGCGACGACGAAACTCGCTCGTCTCGATGCACACGCGCGACCACCCGTCGCTTCCGACTCTCCTCTCTCTCTCGATTCGATGGTGGATTAACGACGCGCTCGTCTACTTACCTACGTTTTCATCCGGATGCCATTCGTCGTCTATTCTCTAACACTTCGAACTCGACTGCTGATACCACGCTATTTTAGTTCATTTAAAGAAAGCCGATGATACGAGACCTAATGTCACAGCGCAGTTTAAATATATATAATGAAAGTCGATAACAAACCAATTATTGCTATTTGAATTTATAATAGGCACTGTACAATCATGAGGAAGAATTCATGAGAAAACTAACTGCATTAGCATTTCAAGTTAACTTGAAATTTTCAACGCTTAGCTTCTAATATGACATACATTTGAACAAGACGATGGTGATAATGAATGATTTAAATCGTTCTTCTCGATTTAAGTTTGATATTTACTACATATTTTTATAAAAGAACTATGTCCAAAGTCTTCACGTGATTTTCGTCGGTATCTTATTATTTGCCACATCAATATCATAAGATATTTGCGTGAACGATAGGGAAATGTGCAGTGATTCATATAAAAATTACTCTTTTAATCTTTGGCACAAATTCTTTCTTATAAATCAGTAATCACGCGCGAGTTCAAGAGGACTTTATATATATCTTCGAGAGATACCATATATATTTAAATATCGTGACATAAGAGCAGATGTGACACATATGGGCAAAACAGGAATTAGAGTCCTTTGCCCCTGAAACATAAGACGGAAAATATATATGATTTGACATATCATAAAATATACTTTATTTTTCAGGCATAAAATATCTCCTGTAATTAAAATTGAAACGACAAATATCATTTTACAATTTGCAGATGGAAAAATCATTTTACATCTGTAAATATATTATCTTTATATCATATCAGTAAATCAATCATTATAATAACATTTAATAAAAAAATTCGATTTATAAATTATTATTGTAATTCTTACAGAGAGAGCTTATAAAAAGCTTTTATTCAAACTATAATCGCGAATACTTATAGATTTTCGGATGACGAATTTTTAATTTAATTTCTTCATACAATCGTAATGCAGATATATAAAAATGGCTACGTAGCGTGTATGTTTATATAACATATATATTAGGGAATGATAAACTCTGTACCAAACTTGATGTAAGGCCCATTTCACATTACATCATATTTATAGTTATACACTTTCATGATACATGTCGATATAAAGAGATTGAATACTGTAACAGTGTGTTATAATTGTAACTAGCATAATCATTTAGTTGTGACACATCATGTGATATTCAATATCATGGAAACGAGTTCTTAAATGTGCTCTGCTCTTTACGCAATAGTTTATATATTTAGCTGAAACTTATTGTTTTAATAATACAACAAAAAGTAAGTTTTAAATCGGATTTTATATTATTATTG